GTTGGTTGGTTGGTTGTTGGTTGGTTGGTTGGTTGGTTGGTTGGTTGGTTGGTTGTTGGTTGGTTGGTTGTTGGTTGGTTGTTGGTTGGTTGGTTGGTTGGTTGGTTGTTGGTTGCTGTTGGTCACAGTTTGTTAAGTAGTCATTCGCAAAGAAGACACAAGAAGAAGAAATTAGATATACTGACAGTGAAGATCAAATTTGCCCCAAAGAACTTGATGCCCCTAACCATCAGGAAGCAGTCTGCTGATGACATCACCCTCCTTTCAGACCCCTGATTTTGTTCAGGGAGCTCTTTCCTTTCCTCTCTATCCTTTTTTCTCTCTTTACAAGTGTTAGGTGATTGAAGGGGTAAAAGAAAAGGGATAAAGATGGGTAGAAGAAAGCAGAATCTACAAAGTAGTAAAAGACAAGATACAACTCAATAATGGGACTTCCTTTGAATTAATATTGCTACATTCCTAATCCATTACACAATCCCAGATAACATTTTCCCCAAATTTTAGATTAGCCCAGGCTCCCCTTTCAGAAGAGTTTCTTACAATGGAAATTGTCTCAACTCACTTTTCCCAAAGACTATCAATCCACTGACAGAGAGTAACTGCCCCAATTCGATTCCCCAAGTGTGCAGTGTTCCCAATTCTTGTTTAATCACAATAGGTATCCAGTGGATACCCACGACAAGATGATACTGTATCTCTATATTCTTTACCTGCTTCCAAATCCTGCTACATTATAGAGTATTACACAGCAAATCTCTTCCTGCCAGAAGGACTTTATGTTTTCTCTCAAGGTGGCCTAACTCCTTACTCAAAACAAAGATATCACTGTCCAAGAACCTAGAATATACCTAGTGCTCGATTGGACAAGATATACAAGATCTATATTATTGCCCTGTATAAACCTCACACACAACTGGGGAAACAAATCCCAGACATAAAAGGCAAGAGGCATCATGTGTTGCAACATCCAGAGAATTATACGTTGGACACAGGATGCTTAGTCACTGAAAGGACTCTTGAGCATTGTGGTGCCCTCTTCACTTCAGGGGTGAGTGTGCACTGAAGTGTCTGTATATGTGCCTTGGTTTCATTTTGAACTCTGAGAAAAACAATATTAGGAAACTCCTTCTGGTCCCTAGAATGTTTAGATTCAACTGAAGTTTCTGAGGGACTGTAACATGGAAAGTGGTACACCAGAAGCCATCTTGAACAAAATCACCACCCAATATGATTATTTTTCTTGCTAGATCTGCCCATCTCCTTTAAGAAATAAAAGAAAAAGCTTTGGCCAAAAATGGTGGCAAATGAGAATAAACTTATTTTGAAAACCTAGCTTTCAGTGAACAAAGTTTAGGCATGAGAAAGGGACAGGATAAAGCAGGAGAGAACTAAAACAGACAGCAGAAACATTCTCTGACTAGTGAAAATTAGACATCAGCTATTTAAAACAAGCTTTTAAAATAACAATTATTGACTCTCCTACTCTATTGAGGTGGCAGGAAACTGCACAGAATGTTCTTAGGTCTCAATAATGAGGAAAATACACAATAGTTGCAACAGCATACATTTTGGTGACTTGGATGCTTCCAAGCCACCAAATTCCATCCAGATAACCCACTCAAAACCAGCTCATAAGATGGAGTCCTGATGAACTGCTACAGATAAAGCTTGTGCTTCCTTGTTATTTGGAAGTGCTGAGTTCCATGAACACAGGGGCTCACTCACAGCCCCATGGGCCTATGCTGGGAGCTAAACAGAAAGCCTGGGACCAGCACAGAAGAGTGCACCAAGATCTATAGCCTTTAGAACGTCAGCGATACTTCTACCTCTATCATTTCTTCTTGATTTCCTGGTAAGCCTATATTCCAACTCAATGATTTGTTTTTAATTATGTCTATGTCACTTTAAAATTTTTTATTGCTTAACTTCTCAGCCTAGTAATGTTTTAACTTCTGTGAAGAGTCATGGACACAGCCGGTAGCGGGAATGGTGGCCTCAGCCTTCTGCGGCTGTGGAACAAGCCGTAGAAGAAACTGGAAAATAATTGCCTTTCGGAACTTGCCTCAAATGCAGTTTGGATTTCTCCAGTGGAAATTCTTCCCAATCCCTGATCCCTGCCTCACCCACTGCCATCCAGTCTCCAACTCAACCTATATGTCAGTCCACTAAAAAAAAAAAAAAAAGAAAAGAAAGAAAGAAAGAAAGAAAGAAAGAAAGAAAGAAAGAAAGAAAGAAGAAAAAAATATGTTCATGCTGACAGGGCTCATTTGTTACTTATTTATTCCTGTTGTCATGACTAATTGCCAGAGTTCACTTTGAGACTAAGCATTCTTCTGTGTTCTTGCAGAAAGAGGGAGTTGTGGCATAGAAAACAAATGTCCCTACTTTATGTAGATATATTTTGAAAACAGTGAAAAGCAGTTGTCATTTTGGACCCAAACTTCATTAGATATCATCAACAAACATGTTGACTTCAAATCCAAAAATTAAGTGTCCCTTTATTTCTGTGACGGATCAATGGTGACCATTCTAGACGGAGAGATTCTGCACACACTGCAGATCTTCCAAAGTGATCTAAGAGATGCCCCGCACACCATAACTTTATACCAAGTGGAGATCAGCGAGGGCCTTTTTGTTACTGTTTACCAAATATCACTGAAGGTTTGGGACATTTTTCTATGCATCAATAAATCCATTTTTTATTTTTTTGTACATATAATATTAAATTTGTATCCACAGTGGCTTGCAGCTGGAAGAAAACTGTTACTATGTGGAAATTTAAAACACAACACTTGCTTTGCATCTAAGGAAGAACTATGTACGGGCTTTATGTATCAGAAGCAAGAAATTGATGTTCTCTGTGCTTCAGTGGTTTGGCACATGCCCAGATATTAGAATTGGGTTTATGTTCCTACATTCTCACTAGACAAGGTTCCTATTTGCAATTACAACCCAATATGAAATGATTTTGTAGCAAATTTCTGTAAGGGTTCTGTGCTGAAATTTGGGCCTTGCTCTTTGAACCAAAACACAGGGTTGGTCAAGACTTCTAATAGGCAGAACACACAGATCCTGTCTAGGTAGGATCAGCTATGTCCAAGCTGAGTCAAACCAGCAAGGATGAGAACTGGGGAAGCTGAGGTGGCCCAACAGAGACTTCAGGAAAGCATAAAATGCCTCTAGTTCCCTGGCCGTGAAGAAAACATACAATTTCAAGAGGACAAAGTTCTACTTCGCCTCTGTGGGAGGGAGCACTTCACTACCTCTGAGGGAGGGAGCACTTTTTACTGCCTTTGTTGGGGGAGCACTTCACTGGCTTC